AATATGAACATAAATGCTGATATTATAAACACTTTCATTAATAAAGTATAGAAACTTTAATATATCTTGTTTTTCTTGAGATAAACACCCGCTTAGTCGCTTATATTTTTTATTTTTTTATTTATTTATTTATTTATTCATACATATTTCAACATCAAATGTACAGTAAACGGGTGACACTTCTCGTGTATATTCCCGTGTTTATAAACAAACATGAAATGTACAGATTGGGGATCTGCTTGTGTGATGAATGCTACTATCTATGTCTGACTAAGAATGTGTCATATAATGCCCACTATAGTTAACTGAAATTGATATTATTGATTGATAAAATATTTTTTCAATTCTTTTTTCATAATAAAAATACTTCCAGATGATTTTATTTCAATAGGTAATGAATTCCAAATTGATGGTGCAGTAAAAGATATCAAAGCTTTTCCATAATTTGTTCGAATTTTGGGTTTGTCATAGTTTACCCTATTTCAGGTGTGCATGTCTCTCTTGGATGGTACTGAAGAGGTTTGGAAAAATTTTATGATAATTATGAAGTTTATTAATCCATTTGTACATGAAAAGGCATTTCAACTGCTTATTAATTTCAAATATATTCAAAATGTTCAGTTGTTTGAATAGGGGAAGGGAATGTGCTCTGTAGTTACTGTATGTTGCAATACGTGTAAATTTTTTCTGCAAAATATGAAGGGAGTTTAACAAACCACTACCTGCTTCACCCCAGATAAGATTGCCATATATCAAATAAGAGTAAATAAGGGAATAATAGATGCTCAAGAATGCTTTATCATTTAACAATTGTTTGACCCTATATAGAATACCAATGGTTCTGGATATTTTAGCATTTACGGACATAATATGACGTTTCCAGTTTAAGTTTTGATCAATTGTAATACCAAGAAAATTAATGTTCTCAACCTGCTGAAGCTTCTTTTTATTAAGATAGATGTTTATGTTATTTGCATTATATCTTTTTTGACTTGAGGTGAAAATAATATATTTTGTTTTATCCGCATTAAGGATATGTAACATCACATATAGAAAATGTTTTTACCTGGAGGGGTCCCTACGTTCTGCGGGCAGGGTGAGGGGGCATCAGATGACAAGGAGGACGGGAACCACTGGTCATCTGGTGAGGAGCAAGCGGGGGGACGTGGACGAGGTATCAACCTGGTCTTCTCGGCTAACTGAAAGTTAATAATGAACACACATGACATATAGATTGCCGTATGTTTATATTGATAAGATTTGAGCAGAAATGACAAAGTTCTTACCAAGAAGAGATGCTTGCATCGCTGCAACTGAGAGAGACGAGTCTCTCGCCCTTCTGTAGGCTCCACTGTACTTGTCCAAGACGTGGACCTTCACAAGGTGAAGGTCAAGTCTGCATGTCGCCACCACAGAGTTGGTCTCCAGGCACATCACGCAAATGTAGCGCACCTTGCCGTGCGCGGTGGTTGCGCTCTGGAAAATACAATGAAAGGGAAGTGTAGACTTGCACCTTTGAAACATTTTGCTTTAGGAAACGGCTTCATAGGTGTACTCATAAGTTAATAACATTAAATGTTAGACAAAAAGACAAATTATACATACCTCCTGGCGTATGCAGTCGGCGTACCACAGTCGCTGCTGGCTCACTGCCTCTGTAGGCTGATCTTCATCCTGCAATAGTTCAGTAACATTAGTAGGGCTGTTTGTAATGCACAAACAAGTTAACAGTTGAATTTTATTTGTAAATATAATATAGCACAAACTTACTGGGGACATGTCCTGATCTTGAAGGTTGTCCAGGAACTTGGTGTGCTGGTGGTGGGTAATGGGGGATGTGGGCGACACAAAGTGTACATGCTGTACAGCACCTTCTAGTCCTTTGAGGTATGGCTGGTCCACTCCATCGTCTGAAATGGAAAAAAAATTATGTATACATTTCACAGTGCCTAGCTTTATCGGATCGACACGGCATCATCTACAATTCCCCCTCTCGTACTGCTACGCTGGCTCACTCGCTCGGCGGCCAGCCTGCAGTAGGCGCTCCTGGCGGAGGAGATGGACCGATACGGCAACATCTACCCAGGAAAAAAAAAATTTATGTATACATTTCACAGTGCCTTTAAGGTGTATAGCACATCGTTTTCTTAATAACTTATCTGTCCTTAATGGTACTGCACTAACGCCGGTAAACCAACGGTCGATCGCTCGCTGGCATTAGAGGTCCGAACGATCTCCCTCCCCAAGCAAGGGCCTGCCGGCCCGAGTCTACAGCTTGAGTCGGCATCATTTACCGTTTTTCAGACATAACTATATTTATGTATATGATTTCACTGATAAAACATACATAAAATCATTTTGACTAATTAATGTAGCATTCAGTCCGGACCTCTGATGGCAGCGAGCGATCGAGCGTTGGTTTATCGGCCCGGCGGTGGACGCTACATGATGCCGATGGGAGGCTAGATATGCCCACTCGCGCTGTACACCGTCAGCCCGAGCAAGCACATGAGGGCCAGACAGTCTACAGCTCAAGTGGGCATTATCTAGCCTCCAGTCAGCATCATCTAGAGTCCACAGCCGCGAAACCAATGGTCGATCGCTAGCTGCCATCAGAGGTCCGGACAGTCTCACTCCCCGAGCAAGCGCCTGTCGGCATGACGGTTTACAGCTTTGGCATCACCTACCGTTTTTCAGACATAACTATATTTATGTATATGATTTCACTGATAAAACATACATAAAATCTTTTTTTTGTCTGTCTGGGCCTGGTACCTATCAGAGTAATGTCCCTGGTGGTCCTGGGCAGGCTCAAATGCCCTAAAGTGGGTCCTCCAGGCGGTGGATGAGGGCTGAAGCTGTAAAAATGATGTATTATCAACGAATGGCCAACTAGAAACCAAGTAGAATTATCTGTCCTTAATGAGCGAGATCGAGTGGGTACTTAATCCTATGGAGCTGCTATTTTGTAAGTTTTGAGCTAACTACATGGATGAAAGACCTACATGAAATATGAGAAACACCTACATTAATATGAGTATATAAAAGATTTGAACTTACCCCGCGGTCAGACACTGTCGACACCGCCCCGTCGTCGCCGAAATGAAGGTGGCAGCCTGCGGGCACCTTCCTTTCCTCTTCGTCATAGTAGACATGATTCATGTTGTCAGAAATGTGTGCAAACGTACGTTACAAAAGATAGACTTTAACTTATGTTGAAAACACTGTTTATCAGCATAGAGAGGGGCATATTCCATTCAGCGTATGTTTACATTTATTATTGATTATTGCGTAATATGGGGTTACGTAAATTTAATTTTTAGGTCTTCATTCATAGGCATGCTTAATTTTGGTCAGCTGGAAACTGTTATTCCTTAGTTTTTTTACAGAGAACTATTATTTAGTGACATTTTGATCAATGTATGACTGATGTGTCTTATCAGGTTTTGTTTTCTACTTAGTTTGAAGTAAAACTTTGCAGCCTGCAAAAACGTAATTAAAACGGTCTAGAGCTCGAGTCGGCATCATCTAGCGTCCACCGACGGGAAACCAGTGGACGGTCGGTCGCTGCCATCAGGGCAGGGTCTACGCCAGCCGTCCTGCCAGCAGAGGGTCCACCGCCGGGTAATCCCCAACTCAAGACCTTGAGGTCCTAGGGTCGACGGTGAGAATCGACACAGCATCATATAGCGGCCAGAGTGTAGCGCTGAGGCATTGACATCAAGGCATTGACATCAACTGTCCTGCCTAGCCTAGCCGACACAGCATCATCTACCATCCCTCTGCTTGCTCGCTCGTACTTCGAAGGCTGGCTCGGCGGCATGCCTGCGGTACGGGCTCGTGGAAGGGGAGACACGGCATCATCTACCGTCCCTCTGTTTGCTTGCTCGCACTTCGAAGGCTATCATACTACTATCATAAACAACTAACAAAATGACTGGCTAACCTTAAGCACAACATCCGGACGTTTCACAACCTCATCTGGCACCTCATGTGAACCCAGGTGTAGACGTAAGGACTGGCATGAATGCAACAATATATGGTGTGAAACCGCCCGAGACCAGTGTTTGCTCGATTATATTCGAGTGAAGAAAGCATATCTTTATCATTAATTACTTTTTCACTGCGAAAACCTGAGAGTCACCCCTCGCCCATGTACTGTTTAAGCTCCTGGGAAGCGCCCTGACGTTCACAACAAAAAATAGACATCCCTCAATAGGACAAGTACAATTGTCTCGAGTCGGCATCCCTAGCGTCCAGCTTGGGTAAATTTTCACGGAAACGGGGCTGACACGGCATCATCTAATTTAACTACTGGGTAGATTTTCACACCCAAGTACGGACCGGTCCCTTATTATCTAAGGTAGATTTTCACAGTTCCAAATTCCGACTAAATATGTGAGGTAAATTTTAAAGGATCAGAGATACAAACTAACTTTGTCCGTACAGAAGTGAAAATCTGCATACTAAAATTTAGTATTCCTGATTTTCAGACATAAATATATGTATGTATATGATTTCATTGATAAAACCTACATAAAATCAGGTTTAGAAGATAAGGTAGTATTTCAGGTATATGCAGTTACGACTTTTACTTGACAGACATGTTACTTTGACAAGGCCCTCTATATTTCATTCCAAGTAAAGTCAATCCTCCTAAGCAGAAAGTTTCCTGAAAAAGTCCTACTTTTTGTCAAATTTTATGGAGCAAACACCAAAAACTGTAATATCAAGAGCTTTGAAATCTTCAGAGGACATAAGTTGCATAAAGTGTCCAATATTTACAGAAAATTTGACTTTTTGACGTCAAAATCAGCAATTTCTCGGAAACCAGGCAAACTTGGGAAATGCCGATGATAGGTCAAATAGGCATTATGGATATGCATAAAATAAATGTGGATATGACACAATACGAATTGTAGTTCTAATTTGTGCAGCCAATGTTGACGGACAGGCGGATGGACCAACCAACGGACGGACACCCGGTAGATCCCATAGGCTTCTGGATTTTGAAGCTCTGTGATCAGAGGATAAGTAAAGTTGTCTCCAATATTTCATGACACCTTATCAGAAGATCTTATTCATTAGCATGATTACAAATAATATTTATGTGGCATGTAGACATTTCAGTAACTTTGACACTTCATTTATTCATGGTCCATTTATTTACAGGTCTTTCCTTTTAGCCTACAAAATAATGCTTACAATCCTTTCCTTCAGAGTCCTTTCTTTATAGATCATTCCTTTGGTATTACAGTCTTAGACAGAATGTACCTTTACTGTCCTTTCTTTACATGTTCAGTCCATTCATTCAGTCCTTTCTTTTCAGATCATTCTTTTATAGTATTTTGAACAGAAAGTACCTTTACTGACCTTTCTTAACACTTTCAGTCCTTTCATTCACATTTTTATTCTTCCCAGTCCTTGCTTCTGTGCAGTCCTTTTCAGTCCCATTCTTCACAGAGAATTCCTTGCAGTCCTTTCAATTAACGTCCTTTCAATTGCAGTCCTTTCAACTGCAGTCCTTTCAATTACAGTCACCAGTTCAGTTTGTCCTAATCCAGTCATTTACATATCCTCAACACTCCATTTATAAGCAATCTCAGCAACAGCTCTGCTGTTTGATTGAGTCTGAAATATTTTCTTCTCAAAGCCATTGGACCGATCCACTCCATCCCACCTGTAGCCTGGCTGTATATTAAACCTGTTGGGAGGGGCTGCAGGACCTTTATACAATGGCAACTCTGAAAACAGTATAAACATTTGGGTTATCTCAAAGCACATTTATTTTTGGGGACTTCTCTGGAGAGGTACTTGAATATCATAAAATAAAGAGGCCTAGTTGAAATTATCAATATATAGAGTGATGTTTATTTTGTCTGGATGGTATTGTTCAAAGTTTTAGTTTAAAAGAAGGCAGTTACATGCAAAATGTCACCACATGCCATTTGTTACAGACACTAATCCCCAATGATGTCCAAAAAAAAATTTGAGACAATCACTTGCGGTGATGACATGATAAGACAAGGCATTAACATGACAAAATGTCACCACCTAGTTGAAGCAAGATGACCTTGAGGAGGTCATTAACTCATTCGCGCGCTCAGGCGACTTTTGTCGCATAACTACATGGCATACGTCGAATCCAGGTTGACAAGCTATAAAGATGTCCCCCAAGTATTGCAGTGCCAATGTTCGGTACTCACATTCACCGGTAGTATCGAAAGCCCCCTATGATTTCAAAGTCGCGAGCAAGTTCCCGCTGAAATCGCGAGGAATAAAAAAGTGATGGGTTGTCTTTTGTTTACTTGAATTGTATGATGTACAAAACGTTTTCTTTTTAATTTTCCGCAATGATTACATGGTATTGAGACTAAAAAGGCAACTGATGGAAAAAAGTATCACGAGCGGTCGTTCTGTGGTTCTTTATTTGACAATTGAAGAGAGAAAAGTGTCATCTTGAATCTTTATCTATATATTTCTATACGTTATAGGTGAGGAACGACGTTGTCCTGTGGTTGAAATAATGGTAGTGATTTGAAATAAAAATGTATTGAGTTTCACTTCCTAAAGCTTTACAGAACACTTTATATATTTCAATTTTATCATATCTCTCAAGGCCCAGCTTCTAGCGGAGCAAAAAAGCAAAGACCCCGCTGAAATCATGAGGAGGCCCTGCTGAAAACATGAGGAGGTCCCGCTGAAAACAGGGGCAAGTGTCAAAAATGGAATGAATCCTGATTATACCATGAAAATCTCCCACTACCGTACCCAGCTTGATCCACTATTTTACCCAGTTTCATGAATACATCATTTGTTGATACAATTCTCAAAAACAGCAAATACTGTATTGATATAGTATATATTATGATATGTTGTAATAGAAAAATGTGATGAGAATTAGATCGGATGAAATGTTAAAAGTTTAACCTCATTTTCATAATTACGATGTGAACATAAATGTTGTTGATTTTATGCATCAAATCTAATCAATTCAACTGTTTGAAAAGTAAGTGGAATTCCATCATATATGAGTACAAATCGATATTTAGTAAGATTCATGCGTAAGCTAAAACGATTAAGTCAGAAAAATGTTCAGTTGTACTATTTTTGTCTAAATCTCCCGTTGCCAGCTTAGATACTCACTCACTCACTCATTCAACCACCCACTAACTCACTCACTTTTTCCCTCCCTTTTCAGAAATGAACGAACGCATGAACGAATGCAAAAAGTATTTACCAACAAATAACGAACGAACCCCCGAACGGACGGCGGGACAAACAAACGTAAGAATGAACGATTGGACGGTCGGACGGGCATTGTAACGAACGGACGGTTTGACGATCGCACGAATGGACAATTTGACTATCGCACGAATGCACGAACGAATGAACGAACAAACCGTCAGATGAACGCATGCCTGAGCGAACGAATTTCGAACGAATGCACCAACGAACGAACGGAAGGTCGAACAAACGCACACACGAACGCACGGTCGGATGAATGCATGCACGAACGAACGAACGGTCGGACGATAGCACGCAAAAATGGAAGGTCAGAAGAACAAACAAGCCAATGAAATATATGTGTCCTCAGAAATTCCTTGGAACATAGAATTATATAGAATTTACATTTAACTGTCCAAATGTACAAAGTCTGTTTACACATTTAAGAATTTTATTTTATGACGACGCTGACAGATGGATCAAACTGCCTGAAGTTGCAGAAGAAATAGTTGCGATGTTGCCATTGATATGTTATAATGGTATTAAAACGTTATTGGCACGTTCTTGTACATTCATATAAGGTAACTCAATATCTTCATGGAATAATAATGAAGCTTTCCTCGCAATCGAAGCGGGACCTCCTCATGTTTTCAGCGGGACCTCCTCATGTTTTCAGCGGGGCCACTGAAACACCTTTAATGATGTATTTCGACCCCCATAGCAGACGTAACTGCACAGTTACTTATCAATACAGACCATATTGATCCAATATGTATTATGGTGTATGTAAATCGTATTTATTGCCTTTATTTTAACGATAAAAGTAATATATGAACAGTAAATTATGCAAACGTGCATGTTGACGCCCCTCTTTTCAATGCCAGTGAAGAAGAATCATTTTTTATGTCATTGTTTGTCAAATGTTTCTGTTTTTAAAGTATTGCTGGAGTATGGAAGAACAGTAATAAGTATTTTCACCCTTTTGGTCCATTTTCCAAAGTGATGCAAATAAACAGGACTTTGCTCGCGATTTCAGCGGGAACTTGCTCGAGACTTTGAAATCATAGCGGGGCTTTGGATACTACCCGTGACATTAACAGGAAGTTATTTTAACAGGAAAATTATTTTGGTCACTTATTGATTTATTTCGAAACAAATACGAATCTGGGAGTGATCATACATTGTGGTATTTAAAAATGGCAGCCAGGGCTAGATTTAGACTGGGTAATAATGATCAAATCGCTGCTATATTCAATGATTTTGGTAGTGAAGCCTAATATTTGAAGCCTCAGAAAATGAAATTTCAAAATGATGATAGGCCTGACAACTCTGTGGCTGGGGACTGGCCAGGGAAGCTGCTGGGGTACACCAAGGTAATATTTAGTAGGGGTCTTATGTTTTTTGTTTAGGATTTTTTTATCATCAGTGGCTCTCATTGTGATGAGTTCATACATTAACATATGATTTATACATATGTTTTTAATCATGAGTAAAAATTTAGTGGTGTTATCTCTGTTGGTTTAGATTTTATGTCACTTTCAAATTGGCAGGCATGAAAAACCTAATCTTTAATAAATTAATTAACGCTCAGTAGCTTTTAGAAATAATTAAATAGCGCTTAGTTAAAGGTCAAATCTATGTAGTCAGATTTGAAATGTTGAGAACTTGTAGATCTTTTTTGAACTTGAAAAGGTCATTGAAGGTCTAATCTTAAATAAAAAGTCAAATTTTAACTTATGAAAACATGTAGATGATTTTGAAAAACAATTGAAGTCAGTCTATACAGTATTTGTTAAATTATTGGAAGTTGTAAGAATTTGTTACAGATGCCGATCCCCAAGACCATGACGATATGTCACCACTTTTTGATGGTGACATAAAAATTGGATCGCATATGTTGCGGTTGTGGAGAAATCTGTTGATATACGAACAGACAGGCAGACACCTGGTAGGCCAATAATATGGCCCAATACTATGTGGTGGGGACATAAAAAGTAGTATTACATACCTAGCGAAGCATTTGTATGGAAGTCAATGGGAAAGTTAGCGAGCTATATCCACTGATATTGCCCGATTACCCCGATATAGCCCGCTTACCTCGTTTTGATATTAGATTTCTTTAATAACCATGATAATATCATGACGTCACGTCATTGATACAAAGTAACCATGGGAACAAAGGCATGTAATACATCAGTTATGTCACTATGACGTGAAATATGCCTGAGTTCTCCCAATATAGGCCGACCTTGGGAGGCTCTATATTTGGGCAAGAACGACATAACCTCTAAGTATTACAAAAATAACAGTGGTGGCCATTTTGAATATTTACAATTTCAAGCAAATTGATATGATACTAACACCCAAAAAACATACCTTGCTAAAAATCATTATCAGCATTATTCATTTCCCTGATTTGATAGGCCTACCGTGACTAAAATTGTGGACTGTAGCTGATGGTCTAAAAATTACTCACGTTTTTTATTGCTTCCTTTGGGGGTCTTTTTCTTAATGAATGCTAACATGGGGTCATCTTCCCTGTCTCTCTGACGAAGCAGATCATCAAGGTCATCATCATCTTTGTACCTAACAATCAATCAGGAGAACTAGATAATTATAATTTTATTTTTTCAAAAGACCACGAGTTGTATGTAGAATGAATAATCCAATTTGCGATGCCACAATGCATCACGTTATAAAGGATTTTATAAAGGACAAATTTTCTGTTGATCGGTCGTTGCTACAGAGTGAAATAGCGGAACAAGGTTTGGAGAATTTGGGTGTATTTAAAATTTTAAAGATATGCTAAGCAGATAAGTAGGTCAGTATTACATAATCATGAAATGAATAAGTCTGAAAATACAATTGGTCAGAATGTACTAAAACCATAGGAGACAGGTTACCTGAAAAGGAAGATAGATATCATTATCTCTTATATAAACAAGGACTGTCACTGAGGCAAGTCTACCCTGGCTGAAATCAGCTCTGAAATAACAATTACTGCATGTCAAGCCGTCATTCAATGCTGATTTTGTAGAAAACAGATCTGTCCATCCTTCTACATGTGAGTTTTTCCCATAAAGATGCTTGATTAAGTAGAAATTCATCAAATTATACCCCTAGAATATCAAAGTTCAACTGTACATCAATCGCGTGAGGAAAAAAAAACAAATCCATTCTTCACCTTCTGTTCACAAACCCTTCTTCTTCTTCTTGGAAAAGTTGTCCCTCATTTGACTAACAGCAAATGTGTATGTTTATGCAGCAATATATGTTAGTTTAGAAAATGATTAATTACAATCTTACCTGTACTTCACAGAAACATCCTAAGTATGAAAATATTTCACTAAAAATACATGCTTCCATTTTGTCACATGTTCATAATAATTTAAATATTGATCATGTGATGTTGACAGGGTGTGTAAACGCACCTAGCGTACAGGAAATATGTTATGATATTTATTAAGAAATTAGGTATGGTAATCATTATTAATTAAGCATTAAGTATCAAGCCCCCAACCCACTTCACAAAGTTCATGAAGTACCAAGGAAAGACCAAATATTAAATAAATTAGAAAAATTTGAATTTCCCAAAAAATCAAGTGGGCGATAATTAGAGGTTATGTCACTATCGTGGCATATATGCCCGAGGTCTCAGTGATATATGGCCCGACCTTGGGAGGGACATTGATCTCTGAGAACCGAGGGCGTATGTGCCACGATAGTGACATAAACGATTTATAACATACCTATGATGATGTAGACTGGTCAGAGAGTACCATTTTCTTATAGAATTGACAAACAAATGGTTTGAAAATGATTGAAATGAGTTTAGAAAAATTGCTCGCTCAGTTTTATCTTCGATTGATTGGTTATGACGTCAGCGCCTTGACCAATCAGAAAGTTAGCGGGCGCGGGCTTTTCAAAACTTATATTGGCCCGCTGTCTTGTGTACACTTTGCACTATACATCATCATAGGTATGTTATAATAGAGTCTCTGAAACATTAAATTTTTCCTTCATTAACTTATTACATACATTATTTTTAGATAATATTAGTTTGATATGGTGTGGAAAGCACACAATGATAGATACTTATCGGGAGTATGCATTGAAAATTACAAAATATGTCACTTTTGCCATGTTTCAGAGGTCCTATTTTGATACGGACCACTTAACTTTGATGATCAACAGGTCCGTATGACCAGTCTCTTTTTCCCCCTTAATGACTACACTGTTTGGGGGAGTTTTTTTCATGCACTTTGCTTATGTTTTACATCTAACTTCAGGGAGACATATCTTACTTCAGGGAGACATGAATCATTGATGAATGAAGCTTTTGAGTTAGTGAATGCTTTTTTAAATAGGATACACAAAAAGTGTTGAAGTGGACACATCCTATAACCTCAAGAAATCTCTTGGAAAAACCTTTCCCATAGAAATCCAATCATCATTTTTTTCAAACCATCTCACCCCTAATAGTTAATAATAATTAATGAATGCTATTATAAAGTTTGAATACCTTGCTAATGGCTTAGACATCTCATGCAGTGCATTGCTTATGGCCGTGTGTTGATCCTCCTGCTGTTTTACTCTAAAATTGATAATGCACATACAGTTAATTTATATCAAAGCAGACAAACTAGCAATATACCTGTAACTATTGTTTTATTGATATCTTAAAGATGAAATTCAGAACATTAAAGGCTTTCATTAAACATTGGAAGAACAAAATCAATACAAAATTCATTTGATAAACCTGCACATTGCTCTAAAATGCAATATGTCGATATATATATTTTTTTTACATTTTCATTCAGCCAACAAGATTATTTAGTATATATCTCAGGAGCGTAGCCAGCTTTCAGTCAGGGGGTGATTGCCAAACAATTTTTCGGTTTTCAGTCAGGGGGGAGTGCGATCATCCCATAAGGCAAAATTTTTTTAAGGTTTGAGCTAGAAGCTTCAAATAATGAAGAACCCACGGTCCTGTGCTCACACAGTTTGGAACCTTCAGAGGAATGTATATCATGACTTTCAAACAAAAATATTGATTTGGATTTGTAGTCTCGAACTTTGAGAAACTTAGATAGCACAGTTGTGTGACCTAGTTTGATGACCTTTGACCTTGAAAATTTTACTTATTCAGAGATCAGTAAGGTCTTTTGTGATTAAGCTGACCAAAATTAACATCCAAAAATCAATTTGAATAATCAACTTTTGATCTTTCGAAGGTCACTGAAGGTCAACTAAAGGTCAAATCCTAAAACTAATGTCAGATTTGAACTCCTGGCAACTTGTAGATTATTTTCAAAAAAAAATATGGTCAAACTGAAGCAAGTTGAAAAATAACTTATTTTTACAGTTTTTTGCCGTCAAATATCTCAAAAAAGGTAAATATTTGATGCTGACATATATTGAGCAATATGTAGGGAATGCTTAAATCTAGTAATGATGTAATTCATTGCAAGAAATGATCAAGTATAAGGCAAACTTTGAGAAACTTGTCAATCACAAAACCTGCCATTGACTTTATACATGAGAAAGTTTCCTGAAAATGACCAAGTCCGACTTTTTGTCAAATTTTATAGAGTAAACACCAAAAACTGTAATTCCAGGAGCTTTGAAATCTTCAGAGGACATAAGTTGCATATACAGCAACTACTAGAAGTTATTTGAAAGTTCTACTTCAACAAAGTGTCTAGTAAAAAATTTGACTTTTTGACGTCAAAATCCGCAATTTCTCGGAAACCGGGCAAACTTGGGAAATGGCGATGATAGGTCAAATAGGAATTATGGATATGCATAAAATGAATGTGGATATGACTCAATCCGAATAGCAGCCAATGTGCGGCCAATGTTGACGGACGGACGGACGGATGGACCAACGGACGGACGCCTGGTCGATCCCATAGGCTCACTGTGTGAGCCAAAAAGCATTTTAAAGCTCTTTCCTTCTTCTATCTAATGATTCATTTTTTATTGGTTATGAGGGGGGGGTGCATTTTTGTTTTCCTTTAAATGGAACAAGTTTAAAGAAAAATGGTGCAGTTAGGACTCATAATCCCTGATTTTCAAACACCTGGTAGGTCTAAAATTCTTATTTGGGACCCATATATATAGGAACTCCCTTTATTGATCAATTTGAGAGAAGATGAAAAAGACCTTTTGAGCTTTTTTGACCTTTGAATTCTCATATTCTCACCCCTTGCTCCACCGACTGTATTTCTCCTGCTTCTCTGCTAGTTTTGCAGTCTCTTCTTCAGTCTCTGCATGCTCCGCCTTCATGTCCCGCTTACGACCTGATTTACGATCTCTGAAAACTGTTGCTGCATTCTTCCCAAGGATATCTGCATCTACCTACAAGTTCATGAATGACAATAATCCAAGCATTTAAATAGTACATGTATGTAGGCATTGTGTAGACATTTACCTGCATTTGCATGTTGCTCTATCAAAGAACCTACTTAGGAAAAGAAATTGTAAATGTAGGATAATAAGAACATCCTATGAATTTTTCAGATCAAAATCATAGGATATCCTATAATAATGGTCTCAACAAAAAACATATTATAGATGATTGTAATAATTTACACTGTTTAAAGCAAGCCGAACATTTTAGCCAACACAAATTGTGGGAATATGAACTCATCCCACGATGAACTTTCTTTAATAATACAATTGTATTGTGTCATTAATACAAAATAAATTTTAATATCGACTCTTACTTTATTAAATGCATCCTTCTCTTTTTGTCGCAATTTATCTGCTTCACGTTTCATTTCCTGCATTGATGAAAGTCCTGCTGTAGCTCCAGAGAGAGTTTTTGTTGGCTTTTTCCTTGGAGGTGATTTGTCAGAATCTGAGATTTTTCTATTCCTTCTTGGAGGTGATTGGTCAGAATCTGAGTTTTTTCTATTCCTTCTTGGAGGTGATTGGTCTGAATCTGAGTTTTTTCTTTTTCTCCTTGGAGGTGATTGGTCTGAATCTGAATTTTTTCTTTTTCTCCTTGGAGGTGATTGGTCAGAATCTGAGTTTCTTCCTTTCCTTCTTCGAGGTGATTGGTTAGAATGTGAATGTCTTTTCCTCACAGGCGATTGGTCGGAATCTGAATCATGTCTTTTTCTCACAGGTGATTGGTCGGAATCTGAATCATGACTTTTTCTCACAGGTGATTGGTCAGAATCTGAATCATGTCTTTTTCTCACAGGTGATTGGTCAGAATCTGAATCATGCCTTTTTCTGACAGGAGATTGGTCAGAATCTGAATCATGTCTTTTTCTGATGGGTGATTGGTCAGAATCTGAATCGTGTCTTTTTCTCACAGGTGATTGGTCAGAATCTGAATCATGTCTTTTTCTGACAGGAGATTGGTCAGAATCTGCATCAAGTCTGACAGTGTTATGGTCTGAACCATTCTTCTCTTTGTCTGAAATGGACATTCAAAGGAAATGTCAACATAATGTTACAAATTGGTTTATGTCCAATACATGGTATATGCTGATGATACTTCTCTCTACTTTTCCTTCAATCCATATACCATTGGCATTGAAACTAACATACCATTGAAACTAACATGAATGGAATCAAAAATTTATCAAGAGTTCAGTTCAAACCAGAAAAAAACTTGGATTTGAATTTCCATAGCAAACAAGCAGAAAACAAAATGTGAACCCTTGCTTCCTTCATTACAATTTGATTGATATAGAAAACTTGCATAAAGACCTTATCTAAAGACCTTATCTTTCATTTTGACTCTTACTTTGATAGTTCAATGCATATTGGAGATGTACTTGAAAAGGTTAACAAAATGCTAAATCCACTCAGATAACTAAACACACACACTTAATTCAAAGTAGCTGGAGAACATTTCTAATTCATAAATACTTACTTTATTATTGATTATGGCACATTTTATCATAGATCATCTAGAAAATTTCTTGGAAGGCTATGTAAATCATATTACCAGGCAGCATTTTTCTGTTCTGAGTATTTGCATGGAACCAGTACTACTCAAGTTCCTAACAGCAATTTAAGTGAGAGTTATCATAAATAATTTTGTTATGTAGTGCAAAAGGCAATATGGACAGTGCATTGATCGGTCTGTTATTTACTGTTATTTAGTTGAATCACTGTGACATGACAATGACCAAAGCAACCAGTCCAAATGAGTTAATTCTACATCCAAATTCTATTTATATTACCTTTATCTACAGTTTTCCACTTCTCTGACTTCCTGTAAGCTTCAAGACGCTTTATGTGTTCAGGTCTTTCATCTACAACTTCAGCTACTGTAGGATCATTGTCACCAGTAAAGTCATCTATTGTACCATCATTGTTGTCGGGCTGAGTGGTTGAGAAGTCAACATCATCATCAACAATTCTCACACTGCAAATATAAACAAACTGAACATTCTCTATTTTGATATTATATTACACAATTCAACTATGATCTCCCAAGCCAATTTTCACATTGTGATGCACCCCACTAAACCATTCAAAGCACCCTGGTGAGGCAAAGCACCCAGTTAAAAACATTGGCTCACAAATCAAAATACTGTAGATTGGGTTAATTTGGCGCCCGCTTTAATTTGGCGAATTTGGCGAAATTGAAAAATTCGCCAATATAAATCTCCGCCAAAATTTAGAATAAATCCCCGGGAATCATCTAGGGTATTTCGTCCAGTGTATTTAGGTCACTTCTGGTTTATTTTTTCCAAAAATATGAAAAAATGTCTCTCATAAATTGGCTCAGAACTGGTCAGTCACTCATTAATACTCAGGGAAAAGTAGCAGGATCGATTGAGGTGTAAAATGTAAAGGATGATCTCACAAAAATGTACAAACGTGGTGAATATCGCCAGTGGTCCTCAAAAGAAAAAATGAACATAGCCAAACATGCCCATTTACATGGTAATTCGCAAACAGCGCGTAAGTTTAACATTCCATTAACATTTTTTTGCATATCCGCCAAATTAAATAGACGCCAATATGCCAAAAATGGCAAAATCGTCAAATTAAGTAGCGCCAAATTAACCCAATCTACAGTAAGCGGAATGTTAATGCTGCCATGTTACAATTATGAAAAAGATGCAATAAGCAAATTGCAAATAAACTGACCAAGTTGCATAAAAGACCACGTACAGTATGGCAAGTGATTTTAGACAGTCATATCATATACCATGAGTAGTTTCTGGGCATAAATACAGTGGCTTTTATTAAAACAATATGTTTTCTTTCCATGATGATAAAAATATAAATCAAAAAATTAGAAAAATTATGAATGTTGACCCCATGTCAACATTTTTTTCAAAATATTTGACCTATTTACTCAGAAGAGGATCTTCTTTTCTGATTTTTATTACATGAAAACATTATTCAACAAGGGGTCTAAGACAAGTTCAAAAATAGAATGGTATTGAAAGTCTAGTTTTGAAGATATCAATTTTCGATGACCAATTTATGCTGAAAACAATGGATAGCACAAGTTTTCCCTATGGGAAAATAACATCGGATATGTGGTTTTTAACTTTAACTCATTTCAATACCAATCCCCTTTTCAAAAATTGTTAATATAGTGTAGAGGAGACTTTCGATATTATTTAAATTGAGAAAAACAAGATCATTTTTTTTAGAAAATAAGCCTAACAGTTTTCAAAAAGTGCCAAGGTGGTGCCCTAATCCATAATTTTTCAGAGAGTTGGATTGATACTTTACTATCATGGGGACTTCACTTGAAGGAAAACTTATTGTTTTAATAAAAGCCACTGTATTTATGACCAGAAAGTACTCATGGTGAAAGATATGACTGTCTAAAATCACTTGCCATACTGCACATGGTCTTTTGAGAAGAGATTAATGGGCCATGTCACTGAAAAAGAGAAAGAATTGCATCATTTTGTTTCAGGGGAACCTACATGAATGACTAGATCTCATTTTAATTTGCAGATGTTCAATTAAATTTTGTGATAGCACCAACACATTTCTCCATATGTACCGTCATTTCCATTGTTTCCGGTAAGGGCAATTTTATTTTTTAGAGTTTTTGTATACATGTATTTTAGACAAATATTTACCTAATAATTATGAAAATGATGAAGCAGTTAAACATCAGGTGAGGTATTCTTCCAGAAAAGTGTAAATTGTGCAAAAAGTATGTGCTGATGAATGAATTATGTCACATTTCTAGAAATTCAAAATTATGCAAAATTAAAACATGCTGTGTGAAATCATAATTCTGGGACCCGTGTTAAATCTATTAAACCTATCAATGTAGTCAATGTAGTCATAAAGTTTGTGCAATAGAACTGGAAACTTGATTCTCACATTTTAATACAATGGCGTAACAAAAACTAGGTTTAAACCTAGGCTTAGTTGGATTTGTATATTATTCAGGGTGTCCCAGTCTTCATGAAATAATTTGTCTACACACAACTGTGATTTACTTTTTGTTGTTAGGAATAAAAGTGTCACCCATTCTGAATGCACCTTTCCAAATGTGATTTACATAAATACAATTTGTAAAAGAGAAACAATAGTGTTTATGAACAGTCTGAAAGTGGAAATCTCTATCTATGTGTGTTCCCGACAGGTTTGAGCATAGTGCTTTAAGTGATCAGGTCTTGAGAGCCCATGGTTTGAGCATAGGGCTTTAAGTGATCAGGTCTTGAGAGCCCATGGTTTGAGTATAGTGCTTTAAGTGATCAGGTCTTGAGAGCCCATGGTTTGAGCATAGGGCTTTAAGTGATCAGGTCTTGAGAGCCCATGGTTTGAGTATAGTGCTTTAAGTGATCAGGTCTTGAGAGCCCATGGTTTGAGCATAGTGCTTTAAGTGATCAGGTCTTGAGAGCCCATGGTTTGAGCATAGGGCTTTAAGTGATCAGGTCTTGAGAGCCCATGGTTTAAGCATAGTGCTTTAAGTGATCAGGTCTTGAGAGCCCATGGTTTGAGTATAGTGCTTTAAGTGATCAGGTCTTGAGAGCCCATGGTTTGAGCATAGTGCTTTAAGTGATCAGGTCTTGAGAGCCCATGGTTTGAGCATAGGGCTTTAAGTGATCAGGTCTTGAGAGCCCATGGTTTGAGCATAGTGCTTTAAGTGATCAGGTCTTGAGAGCTCATGGTTTGAGCATAGGGCTTTAAGTGATCAGGTCTTGAGAGCTCATGGTTTGAGCATAGGGCTTTAAGTGATCAGGTCTTGAGAGCTCATGGTTTGAGCATAGTGCTTTAAGTGATCAGGTCTTGAGAGCCCATGGTTTGAGCATAGTGCTTTAAGTGATCAGGTCTTGAGAGCCCATGGTTTGAGCATAGGGCTTTAAGTGATCAGGTCTTGAGAGCCCATGGTTTGAGCATAGGGCTTTAAGTGATCAGGTCTTGAGAGCCCATGGTTTGAGTATAGTGCTTTAAGTGATCAGGTCTTGAGAGCCCATGGTTTGAGCATAGGGCTTTAAGTGATCAGGTCTTGAGAGCCCATGGTTTGAGTATAGTGCTTTAAGTGATCAGGTCTTGAGAGCCCATGGTTTGAGCATAGTGCTTTAAGTGATCAGGTCTTGAGAGCCCATGGTTTGAGCATAGGGCTTTAAGTGATCAGGTCTTGAGAGCCCATGGTTTAAGCATAGTGCTTTAAGTGATCAGGTCTTGAGAGCCCATGGTTTGAGTATAGTGCTTTAAGTGATCAGGTCTTGAGAGCCCATGGTTTGAGCATAGTGCTTTAAGTGATCAGGTCTTGAGAGCCCATGGTTTGAGCATAGGGCTTTAAGTGATCAGGTCTTGAGAGCCCATGGTTTGAGCATAGTGCTTTAAGTGATCAGGTCTTGAGAGCTCATGGTTTGAGCATAGGGCTTTAAGTGATCAGGTCTTGAGAGCTCATGGTTTGAGCATAGGGCTTTAAGTGATCAGGTCTTGAGAGCTCATGGTTTGAGCATAGGGCTTTAAGTGATCAGGTCTTGAGAGCTCATGGTTTGAGCATAGTGCTTTAAGTGATCAGGTCTTGAGAGCCCATGGTTTGAGCATAGTGCTTTAAGTGATCAGGTCTTGAGAGCCCATGGTTTGAGCATAGGGCTTTAAGTGATCAGGTCTTGAGAGCCCATGGTTTGAGCATAGGGCTTTAAGTGATCAGGTCTTGAGAGCTCATGGTTTGAGCATAGTGCTTTAAGTGATCAGGTCTTGAGAGCCCATGGTTTGAGCATAGTGCTTTAAGTGATCAGGTCTTGAGAGCCCATGGTTTGAGCATAGGGCTTTAAAGTGATCAGGTCTTGAGAGCCCATGGTTTGAGCATAGTGCTTTAAGTGATCAGGTCTTGAGAGCCCATGGTTTGAGCATAGGGCTTTAAAGTGATCAGGTCTTGAGAGCCAATGGTTTGAGCATAGTGCTTTAAGTGATCAGGTCTTGAGAGCCCATGGTTTGAGCATAGGGCTTTAAAGTGATCAGGTCTTGAGAGCCCATGGTTTGAGCATAGTGCTTTAAGTGATCAGGTCTTGAGAGCCCATGGTTTGAGCATAGGGCTTTAAGTGATCAGGTCTTGAGAGCCCATGGTTTGAGCATAGTGCTTTAAGTGATCAGGTCTTGAGAGCCCATGGTTTGAGCATAGTGCTTTAAGTGATCAGGTCTTGAGAGCCCATGGTTTGAGCATTGGGCTTTAAGTGATCAGGTCTTGAGAGCTCATGGTTTGAGCATAGGGCTTTAAAGTGATCAAGTCTTGAGAGCCCATGGTTTGAGCATAGGGCTTTAAGTGATCAAGTCTTGAGAGCCCATTGGTTTGAGCAATCAGGAACTATAAATCAGCCATTCCACTGAGTAGCAAATCCCATTGAACACTATGTAAATCATGAACCTGTACAGTCACAATGTAATTTTACCATCTACTCTTCCCTTCAATAAACTCTTGAGAACATTGTAGTATCATGTAACCATACTTAAAGATATCTCAAGTAATGGTGAATTCCTGCTCTAGGCAGCCACTTTGAATTTTCTGAAGCACAAATCAGAGAACGATACCATATTTGTGATCTACTTTAAAATTCCTTCAATTTGAGTAAAATATAGCCATACTTCTAAGAGATCAGAAAATTATTGCGAAATCCCTCATTAGGTGGCCATTTTGAATTTTAGGAGGCCCAAATCAGGAAAAACGGTACAATATTTGCAATCTACTCTAAATTGCCTCTCATTTGAGTATAATAAAACTATACTTCAAAAACATCTCAAAATTAGTGCAAATTTCTGTTTTCCCCTGGGGTCAGGGTGAAAAACACAAAATATATGTGAAATATATATATTTTGTGAATATACCACCAAAATTTCAATTAATAATATTTATTACTTTGGTTTAAAATGAAAAACATAAGATTTTTTTCTAAAGCAGTGGCCATCTTGAAAAAAACTTTGCATAAAACTATTCACCAATATACATCTTTTCACCAAATATGGAGAAAATCTGTCGATTAGTATTCGAGTTATCTTCCGGACGGAAGGACGGACTGATGGACAGAGGGGTTCTTTCCTAATTAAATTGCATTAAATTACTATTTCACTAGATTTATACATAGTATGTGATAAAATCGTCATCACACGTTTCAGCGTATGTGATACGGGAAATATTCCACTCAGTAAAAAAGTATCAAGCTGCGCTTTCGTGGTGATACAATTTCTACTTTCGTGGAATATTTCCCGTATCACATGCTGAAACGTTTAATAACTGATAGTATATAACAATACACAATTTAAGCAGCTTTAGGTCACTTTGTAATATTTAGATGCATAAAATTATCAATCAACACATCTCAACTCACGTGGGCGCTTTTACACCAATCTTTAGCTTCTTCTTCTTTTTCCCCTTTCCTTCAACTGGTGATAGATATCTCTTTAAGTATTCTTCTTTACTGAGGGCAGTCATCTTGTTAATGTATACTGTAGCTCATCTGGCTGTATAACCTAAAAAGACAAAGACTGCTTTAACAAAGTCTGATACTCAATCTGTTCTAAGGGGGTACCAACAAGTCTATCTTGCAAAGTGGCTGGCACATCATTTGCCATAGCTGCGTGGGCGCATCATCACGATGTCCAACACAAATGCTCTTACATGCATGATGGAGTGTTTCATTACTGAAACTAGACAAAGAAACGCTCTGGAGTAGGAAAACTGGCTGGCGGGAATGATGAGCCGTCTGACCATTTCCTCAATAATGGGAATAAGAGGTATGAGTTACATATTTCGAGTATACCATTCGATGGGTGTGATATCTATGTTACACTTGGCTGGCTGTTGACGTTTGAAGCAATAGGGAAGAGCTGTACGAAGCAGTATAGCTATCAAAATTCATAAACGTATTTGTCATTCTACCTTTCAAAACCCATTTTGTCGAGACATTTGATTAGTTGAGTCAAGATTAGAGAATCAAAATTTTACGGTAGTAGTGGAACAGTACTGATGAAGATTGTGCTCCACACCCCGGGGGCTTCACTTAAATATACCTCTTAAATTCTTAATACCTATGTGCTGCGCCAAAGACCCCCTTTTTGAGCATTTTTCCATGTCAATTTCCTCTCAAGATTGAACGTTTCCATGTTTAATACCTCTCAGACTTATAAAAGTCAATTTTTTAGATTTTATACTTCATAGATATATCCATGTTAAATTCCTCTCGAGTTTGCTACGACTAAATTTCCCAAAAATTTTGTTAAAATTGACTAAACATCCACTTCTTCAGTGATTTGTCCCAAGACTTGGCAACTGATTTAACTACAGGACTTCAATCTAGTTGGAAGCCCTTGGAAGCCCATGATTTAACCAATTTTAATAATCTAACATTTTTAGTTAAAACTGAATTTTGACCGAAAACGGGTAAATCTACATTCTTAGACAATTTTTCTGTCTTTTTTCCTCTCAGATTGGCTAGTTTCCACAGTTTATGCCCCAAGCCAAAATTGGTCGTGCTGCACCTACCCAAATTATTCACTCAGCTCTGAGAGTGAACTATGTCTATGTCAATAATCTGCAAAAGGCTAATAAGCCCATATGAAGCAGATATATAATTTAACAGTGATAGAATTTGAATAGAATATAATTTAAAACAATAACATTTAAAAATAGATCTATGGTTAAAACTCATTTTAAAATTGAAAGGAACCTTCCTGGTTGGCCCAGGGTTTGTGTAAAAAAACAGGTGACCAGGTAGCCGGGTTGCCGGGTAATCGGGTACTTAATGTTCTTTGCAGGGTTACCAACTTTCAAAGTTACCCTGCAATATTTTTATGTTATCATTTTACCAAGAACCTGTAACAGTAAGAGACTGAATTTTGGAAGTTCTAGGTAGTTATTTACACAGTTTACACGTACGATGATGTTAGTTGCTTGATTTATTGTCTGAGTGATTGACAGGATATCGATTATTAAACAATTTTTATCTGTTAATTAGTGTACGATGTACAATACAACGTTAGTTGCTTGATTTATTGCCTCACTGATTGACATTATATTAATTTTGTTTGTCGTTTTGCCAGTTAATTTATTGGTAAATAAATTTTGTTGCTTGTCTGGTTGTTTGCTTGATTGGTTGTGTGACTGGTATGTTGAAAATGAAAAATCAAATTCCTAACCCTGGTAGGAAGGAAGTGTACCCAGTCACCCATTTTTTTACACAAACCCGTTGGCCCATGTTCCCCCTAAGAAGTCCCTTTATGTTGAAATACCCTTGGGAGACTGCCAGGCTACAGCGTTGACATCTCCCCTCTTTACCAGTCGCCAGTAGTGCAGGCTACAGTTGGGGACATAAATAAATGACAGGTGGATTTGCTGAAGTGAGGATTTCCCATGTTAAAAATAAGAGAATTTACAAGAGGCCATACATCAGTGGATGAGATTATACAAAATGTAAAATATACAAATTTTAAGGGATATATATCTAGACAATATTGGAAATTATGGGCTTTCAGACCACCATAATTAGGAAATGGGGATCGAAAATCGACCTGTCATTTATTTTTGTCCCCAACTGTAGTTGCTGTTCCCCGGGTTCCAGACCCAGACCTACAGTGGGGGACATAAAGAATTACAAAAGCTATGGAAATTACATGCTGTTGCACATGTAATAAATTCTTACCTCAGTGTATTCAGTGCTCTATTTTCTCCGTCCTAGTAAGTCCAGATATAGTGGAATTCGTGTCCATAATGACAAACTTAAAAATTTGAAGTGGAATTCACAAGTTAATGCAGACTCTTCAAATGTTGAGGTGGATTTTGGAGCCCGATTACACCGCAATGTGGATTGGCTCCCAGAATGCGCAGCTTTCAAAATGCCGTTCTGCCATTTTGAAATCTGTTACGAGTAAATAAGGTTACCTGATGTTGCATTCTGGGAGTCAATCCTCCTTGATCACAAACATGGCGATTCATGAAAACATTTGTTCGATTTGGTAGGGATTTATGAGTTTGAGACACGAAACTTACTGTAACTTAGAATTTAGCTCATTGTGACAACTTTCGAGGGTTGAGATTTTTTTGTACCCCACTTTAGGTCACTGTGAGACAGTTTTTGAAACTACAAAAGTAAGTAAGTATGTTTGCTATGCTATACTTACCTTCAATGTATATCAATCCAGTTGCTCATGAGGATGCAAACAAGCTAAAAGTCATTAAACATCGAATATATTACAGAAACGTAACTTTTAACAAAGCGGAAGTAAACTGAATGTGTTAGTAACAGTAAATTTGATTGGTTCTTACACGTTCAATCAAAGCACATGTGTCAACTCTGTTCGGCATGTTCGGGTCACTTTTTCAATGTTTGAAAAAACTACAGGATGTCCAGACAGCGTGCCATTTGGTGAGAAAATGCAAACACTATTATGAAGTGTTTGAAATACAAACAGACTAAAAAATATCAAAAAGCAGTGAATCAAAGAGAGAGAGAGAGAGAGAGAGAATGGCCCTGGGCCTTCGGGCCTCTGAATGTGTACATGAGGTCCATTGAGTTCAGCTACTATCGCTCACTCTATATGTCCTCTATGTGTGTATAAGGTCCGTTGAGTTCAGCTACTATCGGTCATTCTATATGTCCTCTTTGTGTGTATAAGGTCCGTTGAGTTCAGCTACTATCGGTCATTCTATATGTCCTCTTTGTGTGTATAAGGTCCGTTGAGTTCAGCTACTATCGGTCACTCTATATGTCCTCTATGTGTGTATAAGGTCCGTTGAGTTCAGCTACTATCGCCATCGGTCACTCTATATCAGTCATTCCAGATAGTAATTCCCCAATCACAATTTTTCTGTCGCCGTGTATTTTCTCTTAAATAACACTGTACCTGTAATGTTAATCATTATGGTTGTAAAGAATGGTCAAGTGCCTAATATTGTCACTAAAAGTTTGGCTCTATTTGTCCACATATGTGTTTATGTTTATGTATCTTTATTTCCACCTATGCAGATGAGTACATAATAATTATAAAGTTAATGTGGCAATATTAAAAATATAAAAATAAAAATATATATATTTACAACGCAAACTGTGTTGATGTAATAGTTTATAGAGCTATACCGTAGCTGCAGCTCTTGTTTTTAACATTTGCTTCATTTTTTCCTTGTAGGACCTCCATTTTTTCAACCATATTATATCCATCAAATATTCTGTCACTTAAAATTGCCAACAAGTCATTCCTACTTTCATGAAGTTCAAGGCAATCTAAGAGAAAATGCCTTGTCGTTTCATTTGTCATCCCACACAGAGGACAAATAGTGTCAAAGTTGAGTGGGAAAGCACCAGTTAGCAGTTTTACCATGTCCCTACACATCCCTATATATTTACAATTCGATTGACAGATTCTCCACCATACGCATGGTTTTATCGTAACTTGTATCGTTCTATAAACGCTAAGTCTGTCACAGTAGATATGTTACATAACAAGTGCCACCTGTCTTCTTCATACTGCATTATGCATGCTTTAACAATCCGTTTCCAGGCACATTTGGGCATCAGGTAATAATTCAAAAAATATTCATCAATATATATCGCCATAAATTGTATCTTGTCACAAGGTTCAAAACTGCATTTATTACTGAATAGTTGCTATACAACTTTGAATGTTCAGAAATTGACTTCCATCTAAAGAACTCAATTATAAAAATCATTTTATACACACATGTGGTTGGTAGATTTAGGATACACCACAGACATGACAGAAACATTAACTTTTTTGTATCTTTGACCGCACGAATCCTAGACCAGCCCAGTTGTGCCAAAGAAGCTTCGTTATGCACATTACACGGCAATTGTTGAATACGTTTTGCTATCTGTCTATGTGTCAATTCAAGGGTATCATAATCACATTGTTTCAATGGCAGGATATCCATACCGTATGTCATGGATGGTACCGATATGGACCAATATAAAATAGAGGCCGTCAGTGGATTGTATTCGAAGGAGTCACTGCTGAGAAGCCCCACCCCCGAGTTGATAGCCCTTCTAGCCTTTCCCATTGCATTATCAATATGTTGTTTCAAGTTACCATTTGTATTTAAAATGAGACCCACATGTGTACATTCTCTGACATGATCCATTTTATCTGGTCCAAGGTAAAAACACAAGTCTTTGCGGCCCTGTCTCTCTTTAGTGTAAACCATCAACGTTTTTGACTTCCCAGGGTGGAAGGTGAAACGCCATCGCGTACTGAAACGATATGCTTGTCACAATCAGTTATTTAAAGTCAGAAATTCTTAAATTACGTTATTGTCGCCAAGAAGCAATTTTAGGTATATGGAAGAAAACAGACTAAATTTATTTATCACAATCCGTATTATATATTTTCATGTGTAACAATGATGTGTAAGAAATATTCATGCAAAGTTTCAAATCCAAATACTAACAAGAAACTCTTCTTTTTCACGTTATAATAATGTCGCCAGATTTGTGAAAGTTACTGCCTGTTGCATGTATACCTGATATGGAGCTTATACCAATGTGACGTTTACCTTCGAACAAACATCAAATATTAGTCAACATATTAAACATTCATGAAATATACAGAATTTCAATGTATTGACCAAGATATTTCATTTGTGACTTGTCAAAAAATATTTTTTGAAACGTATGGATAAGGACTTTAAACTACGTTACCAAATATCTAACATAATCAAAGAACGAAGGCACCGTTTTCCACATATGTTGTACTTCAGCCTTGGATGACTTGATATGAGACCCTACTGTGTCAGTTAGTAGTGAATTAATAATTGATTCGCATTAAAATGTCACAAATATTAAATAACGTTACGTTAAACTACGTGAGTCTTTTTTTACGAAACAATCCTATTTGACTTGTTATATAACTACAAGCACAATGACAATGGGTCACATGGTCAGATGGTTAGTTTTGGTGCGCTATGGCGCCATGTTGACTCAAAGCTGTGTATTATCTCTGACAATCGACTAAATTGCATCAAAATAGTTGAAAATATGTAAGTAAATACCCAACTCCATTTACAATCTCAGTAAAGTCAAAGAACATTTAAATGATTTTTGGATAATAATTTTGAAGCACATCATCCATTAGAAACATGGTATTTGTGGTGCAAGAACAAAATTTTCAATTTGAAATATATTTGGTGAAATTCGATATTAAATATTGGATAAATTACGTTATGTTCGGTAACGTTACTTAAAACGATTGTCAATCCTTTTCTGACTTGATTTAGAGTTTCAAATAGGGGAACATTCTTTCAGAAAATGGGTTAATCAAGAGCAGTGATTCAAAAAGCCTATATTGAATGGAAAGGAGAAAAGATGGGGAAAAGCACAGAAAGAAAGGGCGCGTGTTAAGGAAATGGTGGAACAGAAACATTTTTGAAAAAAATTGCAATACCTGCTCATTTTATTTTCTTGTACAAAATAAAGTATGAAGGCATGTAGAAATTTCAGGAAAGTATCGTCACAGTGTCTTCTTTTATTGAGTCGGGTAAGAGGTAAATCTTAACTCCAGGGAATGCTGAAATTTCATGAAAAACATTTAAAATCGACGTCTTTTCAATTTCCCAATGTTTTCTCAAAGCTTCTGTAGTAACGTGAGTTACCATGGACCTTTTACAAAGTTTATCAAAAGAAGATAATATGATAATGTTTTCCTGAAGAACAAGGAATGCACAAATGCCATCATACTTTATTTCCAACAGAAAATAACATGTGCAGGTATATCAATTTTTCAAAAATGTTTTCGTTACACCATTACATTAAGCGGTACCACATACCCAGGGTATACCACATCCCGCCCCTTAAAAACGTTTGTTTCTTGCTTTGCCTCATGAAGTGCAAAAATGAGCCCCTGACGCACACTTGACGCAGACGAACCCTATGATAATGAAGCAGCTGTTATGTACATGATTGAAAATTATACTGCTTCAGTCTATGATGGTGCTTGGTACATTGGAAAAGTAGTTAATGTGGATGGCGTGCTACGAAACATCATTTATGATTAACAGACGGGAGTATTTTAGTGGCCTTCACCAGATATACTCTGGGTAGCCAGAACATGTACTCTGGGTAGAACATGCAAACGTTCTTTGCCAAATAGTGGCTTTGATTCCTAAGTGGGAGAATGCTAACGTTAAAGTTACCTGAAAGATTACCTGAACTGATGATGAACTATATATTTGCCTCCAAAAATTGAATCAAGAGACAATGACGTCTGATGTGTGATTTTGGACAGATATGATTTGAAAATATGTTTTATTGTAAACATACTAGTTCACGTTGACAGTACTGTTTTAGCGACGTTTCTAGAGATGTTGAATTGAGTGATAAAGTTGTTACTGTATAAGAAGTTTACATTTTGCATAGACTTTGAACATTATATTTGCTCTCGTTATCAAATGACGACTATTCCGTTTCTTAACAAGCGTTACCAAAATTTGCTGATTCAGTACTAGGATGAGGGGTCTATATACCAGTACATTTATCACCATTGTTATTCACAATATGTAATGATTGGTTTGTTTTTTTCATTGAAATGTCTTCTTGATCAGATTTAATGACACATGGAGCTGATGTTCTAAGATGTTAGTCTACGTTACCATTCGTTTAAATATAGTACGCAAATGCTATATTTTACAGGAACATACATGTAGTGTGTTTTCATAAAATGAGTTTCTCTTATATTTAAAACGGACCGAGCTAATTCTTTGGAAACCGCTATATTGTGCAACTGATTGAATTGAAAATGTCAGTTCCCAGCAATTAATCTACGTTACAATATAGGCATGTTCAATGCTTCAGTTTTTTTACAAATAGATAACCATGACAGTATCCAATATTAGTGTTTAACAATGCAGAGATATACTCCTTTGCTCTGCTAAAAAGTATTAAACCGAGGCAAAGGTCACAAAAGATTTACACTTAATGATTGAATGACTGACAAACATTATGGAAATTACAATTTTAAGGACCCAATGTCTGTACTTTAAGGTAGAAAAACATTGGTAGCACTGTCATAAATTAAGAAGTATTCAAATCAATTAAGATGGTACCTATAACGTACTAGTAATTTAAAATAGCACAAAAACTTTAGATATTTCAAATCAAAATTACTACGAAACCAAAAGAGTCTAAAAGCCAATTTTTTAGTATTATGCTGTAGACATATAACCTCATAAAATAACAAAGTATGACGCGAAACGGAGAACCTTTATTTTTATCATTTTCTGAAAACCGATTGGGGCATTACTATCTGGAATGACTGTATATGTCCTCTTTGTTTGTATAAGGTCCGTTGAGTTCAGCTACTATCGGTCACTCTATATAGCTCAGGAAAATCACTTCTCGAGATGATAAAATAATTTCGACTAAGAGACAGGGTAGATGCAAACAACCCACCCCCATGTTTTTTCTGAAATTTTTTCCTAATTTTCGACCCCTTCCATCCTTGCTTTTTTAAATTTTTCTTGCATCAATATCACGGGGGTAAAGCAGAGATGATGCAATGAGCTTGCTCGGCGGTATGACTGTGTAACGGGGCTTAATGTATAAGTGAGCTCGGCGGTAGGTTCAAACAACGCGGATCCTCAAAGCATGTGCTCAGTGGCTTAATACCCGTGAATATGTTGCGTTTTGACACATAGTTAACCACTTTAAAAGAATAAGTGATTCCTTCAGGGGTTCTAAAGATACCCATTATGGGTGACCAAACTTAGCTGAAAGCAATGATTTTCCCCATGGGAAAATAACATGGGAAATATTGTTTTCCACTTCATCTAAAAGGAATCATTTATTCCTTGGGAACGACTGTGAGTCAAAACGCAACATATTGGTGTAAGAAAAATTAAAAAGCAGGGATGGAAAATATTGATTTGTAGTCTCAAACTTTGAGAAACTTAGAGAGCACATTTTGTGACGTAGTCTTTACTTTTTCACAGCTCAGTTGATCTTTTAGCGGTGTGATAAAAGTTATCGCCGTTTGCGGAACAAATCGTGAAAATTTCCTCAAATCATATGATCACTGAATGCTACTCTTTAAAGAGATGTTAATGAGACTTCTCCGTGGCATTTTTTCTTTATTCCTTTTTGCTTTTGATTTACTACTCAATATGCAACTTTTCACCACGTAGAATTTTAAAATATTAAGTTAATTCCATTTTTATAATGGAGCTCAATGGGAGAAATGACATAATTAGGATTATTTTCAAACGTAGCGGCGCGATTTTCATAAACTTTCATAAATCTTATTGATATGATTTCTAGGAGTGTCTTACAGCTTAATTACATTAGTTGCTTTTTGTTATGTTGCAGTGTCAGTGTGAAAAACAATTGTCATCACACAAGCATAATGCAGTACAAATAAGATTTCCATTCAGATACTTTCATTGTGTTTTGGTATGCATTGATTTTTGCAGCTACACTTCAAATTGAGAGGCTGGCTAGAGTCTAATGCTTGGGATTCAAGCCGTCCACTTTGGTGCCCATGTGGTGTCATTAGACATTCAGCTCTCCTCAACTGGGGTAGAAACGTGAGGATTCTCTTTAATTGATTGTTCCCAAATAAATACAGCTTGGTAAATAACTCTCTTCATATGCTAAAGGGCACCTGATGTCCTTTTTGTGAACATCTTCCTTGCAGCATTGAATGGTGTTTCATTGCTTGTTTTGTTTTGTAGACCAGAGCAATGAATGGCTCTAAAATAGGCATGGAATCTAGCAGGGCATCTGGTCTTATACAGATTTCTGTTAATACTATAGTCAATTCAGGTCAAAGGTCAAAACTTTAAAAAATAATAGGTCAAATTGAAGCAAGATTAAAAATAACCTATTTTTACAGTTTTTTGACGTCAAATACCTCAAAAACTCTATTAGTTACAATTTATCTCATCGCAAGAACTACAGGGTGGTCCAAAAATTGGAACATTTGTTAATTGAACACAAAACCTTTATTTTTCGTCTGAAATGCACCAAAAGTTTACTGAGCATAGTTCAGTCACTTATCTCTCTGATTTTAAGTTTATAGGTGCAAGCCACACAGTTAATGCATTAAACTAGTCAATGTTTGATACGACCCCCTTTTCCCAAATATACATTTGTCAATTTCGCCGCTACTTTTTCAAGTTTTCTTTATTTCAACGCTTTAATGAACATGTTGATTGCTATACACATTTTATAAAATCATATTTAGTTGGCAAGAGGTATTAATATCTATGGTTTACTAGAAAACTATTGTGTTATTGTTAACTAAGAATACCCAAAATCATTATTTCTATTTAAGAGTAGGAAAGAAAGAACATGTAAGGGGTGAGTGATTGCATGACCCATACAGCTACTAAAGTGACAAAATCATTGTTTCCACTTTTCAGTAAAGGGAAACTGACCAGTTATTTACAAGACTTTATTCAATACCACCTCTAAGCACATATAATATATCATTTGTGTTCTGGGAAACTCCTTTTTGATATTGATATACATATATTGATATATTCAATAAATATTATCCATATTAGAACAAGTAAGGGGGAGGGGGGCTCATTTACCAGTCAAAACAGACTGCCCCGGCCTCTTTCTTGAGAATATTCAATCAGTAATACACCTAACAATAGAGAATTTTCGTTATAAGTTGTTTCAAAAACGTATACGCATACTTATAGTTTAAAGGGTCTTGTCGAACTAAAATCAATTCAAATTGATTTTCATAATCTGTACCAAGTGGGGCATAACTATTCCCGATATAGTCAAGCTCCATCATCAACTAGGGACTGCGAATACAATGTCCTTTGCTAGTGTGAATTATGAACACGATAAACTAAACGCCAGTTGACGGGTCCTTGTAGTGTACGATAAACAAGACCCTTTAAAGTGAATCACTACACGAACGAGTCGATCATTTCAAAGTTCTCATGAAATCATAAGGTCAATTTTTAAGTTTTTACGTATAAAAGGGCCTTTATACGCAGATTATAAACTTACAGAGTTGGATCTCCGCATAGTATATGTGTGGACCTACTGACCAGAATGGCTTATTAAAATTAATCGGCTGAATAGGTATAGTATCCAATCAAACAGCTCGACTCATTCATTAGCTGAACTAATTCTCCCTTCGTTATTTCTACAAGGTGATTCAAAACGATCATCTACAAAAAATATATTTGAGAGTAGATAAATCTGTAAAACCCGTGTGCTATATCAGCCTATTTGATTCTAGAAAACACATATGACACAACTAAACATGCTTTACATCAAGGGGGTACGGATGGTATGCCATTGGCCCTTTTTATTACCGTCCTAGGAGATATTTCCTGACGAATTAGGAAATTATGAAACACCTTGTTTATTGGGTTTATAAGTATAAGTATACGTATAAGTTTTTAAAAAACTTATACCGAAAATTCTCTAGTAGCCATCAAAATATGCTTGATAGAAGTTGATACCCATCAATTTGGGTCGAATGTGTTCACATATTTGATCTTCCAAGGCAAATATATAAGTAGTTTGTTCAAGCTGAATTTTTTAATCAAGATGGCTCGGACAAATTCAAACGAACAGCAAGGTGAATGAATTATTTCAAAACTGAGTCCCAGGCTTCAACTTGGAATTCAGAAGTTGAGTGGTCATATCAAGCATTGTCTAGTTTAATGCATAACTTTGTTGTTTGCACCCATAAACTTTACATCAGATAAATAAGTGACTGAACTATGCTCAGTTAAAGTTTGGTGCATTTTAGAAGAAAAATAAATGTTTTGCGTTCAATTATCAAATGTTCCAATTTTTTTGGACCACCCTGTAGAAGTAATTAAGTAGGAGTGTAAGGACAAACTTATCAATCACAAAACTTGTAATTCCAAAAACTACTACTTATTGACGTCAAATTTCTGACGGCTTGTCGGCTTCTCTATAACTGTATAACCCCCTCGAACTTCATTCGGTGGGATAAAAACGAAGATAGTAAAGGTACGAATAATGATGCAATTAAAATACACTACACTAATAGTGAGAGATATGTGGATAATTATTCACCTTTCTTATTTTTCTGAACAATGAAAGTCAACATTTAATTTCACCAAATGCTATTTAACTATTTTTATTGAATATTTTAATCGATTTATCCATTAGTTTCTTTCATTTCCCGAACCATCTTGCTTTCTACTTAATTTGCTAAAATATTCTAGGAATCTTTTGGAGATTCATTCTTGTCATAATAGCTTTCACTTAGTGAACAATGACTTGTCACGTTGGTCCAGTATTCCAGGTTTGTTGTGTGAGTTCTGCCTTCGTAATAATTACACAAACGACAAATGTTACAGAAAAATAGGCACTTATTGTACGTTTTTACATCGAAATACATAGTCCATTCTAAATATTTCATGTATTCATCTGAATTCGTGTTCAGAAACTCGAGGTGATAAGCTAGATCTTTGATTGTTGAAAATTCGTCGACATGGATGAATGATTTTGGTGGGAGATATTTGGAGAATGTAGCTTGCGTCCCTTTTACTATGGGAACTAATTTGTATTTGAAGGCATTCCGCCAAACTTTCTCGGTAATGTAGCCTTCGCAATCGGAATTCTCAAATGCAATGTAGAACTTATATTTATTACCTGAAATCAAGAAAAGACAACGAAGGCTCAAAATGATCCAAAGGCAAACTGTAAGTGTTTACTAGTTGGCTTATTTTTCTACACTGTCAGTCATAAGAAAGGATACTTTACGAATCAAGATGCACTGTCTATCAGTCTATAACTTCATAATATAATAGTGTGTAGAATGGAACACTTGTTTACCATATGTGTAATCATTATTAGTGATAAACCAATCGTTTTGATGAGTTTAAATGATAAAACATGCGTTTTCACTTGTTGAGGACCGTCAACATTACCGTTTACTTATTATTGATGGGTTTAATACGGGTCGTCCACAATGAAATAAAAAATATTAGACTAAATTATAATTTTTAAGTTTACAACGGATTATCTACTAATGAATCGGTTTTTGGAAAGGTTATTAGCATGATCAGACTTGCCAACCTCCCGTTTTTTTACGGGAATCTCCCGTAAATTTTTTGTTTTTCCGTAAAAACACCAAACTCCCGTACCGTTTTCTCCCGTAAAAACTCCCGTAAACTCCCGTACCGTATTTCTACTAAAATCTCCCGTAATTTTTTTTAAAAATATGGCCGTAAAATCTCCCGTATTTTTGCTGAAATCTCCCGTATTCTGGTGTAACTCCCGTAAAATCTCCCGTATTCTTGGTATAACTCCCGTAAAATCTCCCGTATTCTTGGTATAACTCCCGTAAAATCACCCGTTTTCTGGTATAACTCCCGTAAAATCTCCCGTATTCTTGGTATAACTCCCGTAAAATCTCCGTTTTTTTGCTGTCTAAATCTACCGTATTTAAAAGGAATTTGACAAATTTGTGACCTTGATTATTGCAGGCACGCTTCTTTCTTTTACTCCAAGAAGGTTGGCTCCCATGGTTCACTATCGATACTTTCATAAATAACTTAAAAGTACTTCATTCCCATGATTCAAATTGCTTTTCTGCGATCAGTTCGGTATAAGTTTGCACACCAAATGTCCACAAACGGGGGCCAGTTCAAATTCTGTCATACTTCTGTCGGGAGAATACATTTTGTTTTTATATGGCGCTAAAAAAAATATTCCCGCAATATAAGGCGCATTATTGGTAGGGACTGCTGTGAAATAATGAACGTAAGTGACATCTATCTTAGTCATAATAATTTCAACCAATTAAATCGCTGGATTAAATGCTCATAAATCTACCGTAAAAACTCCCGTTTTTCAAAATCTAAAGTAAAAACTCCCGTTTTTTTCAGAAATCTACCGTCAAAACTCACGATTTTTTCAAAATTTACCGTAAAAACACCCGTTTTTTTCAGAAACCTACCGTAAGAACTCCCGTTTTTTCCGAAATCTACCGTAAAAACTCCCGTTCTTTCAAAATCTACCGTAAAAACTCCAGTTTTTTCAAAATCTAAAGTATAAACTCCCGTTTTTTCATAAATCTACCGTAAAAACTCCCGTTTTTTCATAAATCTACCGTAAAAACTCCCGTTTTTTTAAATCTACCGCAAAAACTCCCGTTTTTTCAAAACCTACCGTAAAAACTCCCGTTTTTTCAGAACCTACCGCAAAAACTCCCGTTTTTCTGAAATCTTCCGTAAAAAAGTCACGTTTTTTAAAATTCACCGCGAAAAATACCTTTTTTAAAAAATCTCCCGTAAAAACTCCCGTTTTTTTCAAAATCTTCCGTAAAAACTCCCGTTTTTTTCAAAATTTACCGCAAAAACTCCAGTTTTTTTTTAAATTTCACGTAAAAACTACCGTTTTTTTCAAAAACCTCCCGTAAAACTCCGGTTTTTTTAAAAAAAACTCCCGCAAAAACTACCGGATTTTGAAAAATACTCCCGTAAAAGTACCGCAATTTTTTTCAAATCTCCCGTAAATTTTTCATTTTAGGTTGGCAAGTCTGATGATACATTTATCTGTTTAATTGAAAATAAGATCGTCTGAACGACTATATTTTGCATTATTTATGATATTTTTACTCATTTATTATCTATTCAAAAGGAACTATAAATATAAAAAAAATCTTTTGAAAAATGATCCCTGCGTAATCCCAAATAAATGATAAACGGTAATGTTGTGTGATGCTCAACAAGCAAAAATATGTTCAATGATATCAAATCTACCAATGCAATATATTCAAAACAGTGGAGCTTCACCTTCCTTTGGCACAATATAACTATACATGCATTACAGTGTTTATGTGAGTGTAAATGGTTCACGGATTTAGCCCTGAACTCGGTGCAATGTGGACCGAATCATTCTTTAAAAAGATTTAATCTCAACCTTTGCTACGAGATGAGATGCGCAGCATCGAGTGTAAAGTTTAGGAAATAACGCCTGGGTGGAATGAATCAGCCACAATGCAAGTCTTGGGCTTGAATTCTTTCCACACATTGCAAAATATTTTCTACGAAATCACCTTGAACGAAATTACTAAAAGAACACATTTTCAATTAAACTTTTTGTGAAGGTCAAGTTGGCAAAGTATTTATTTTAATCTGCAGAGTCAAGTTGTCACCTTGACAATCATTCAACGAATGACCTTGGGTAGGTGATTGATTATATAACGCAGTGCAATTATATGAAATGCTGTGTCCGGATTGACTAGAATCGGACAACCTTGCCTAGATACAGTATGTGTGAATATTTTACCTATCATCTCGAGGCACTCTTTTTTCCTTGGGCAAGGCTTACCACACTTTCCATATATGTCTACCTAGAAAGTAAAGTATTATATACGTTTTGTGCACGACTGACATTGGCATTGAACATAAATAAATAGCAGCTAATAGTAAATTCTGTAAGTGCAATTCCGATTGGATTGTTAAGATTTTGATCACTTACTCTGATTCGCGAGTGGTGAGACTAAGTAAACCAAATAAAAAAAGTTGTTATATATTAAAATCAAAAAATGTCAGTCATACATTTGCCCTCTTGGGAACAAACTTTGTGATAATTTTAAGTGTAATCAGCACAATTCATATTAGAATCTCAAAGGATTGGTATCGATATGGAGAACTAAATTCAACAATGTTTTTCTCTTAAACCAATTAATGAAAACACTCTGTAAATCAACACGGTCCTTTATGTAATGTTGACTGATTGACAACAATTTAATGCGAAAATAATTTACATATATTTTAAAGTTATAGTTATCACTGCTTAGGTCGTCCTGACCTTTGGCCGTTCTTAAGATAAAAATGAGCATATAACTGTTTAGCATTGATCCCAATTAATTGACTTGTGTCTACTTCAAGGCTCTATAGTTGTATTTGGCTGGGTGGTCACTCCATAGGCTGTCAAGCTTACTCTTAAAGCGATTGAAGTCATCAGCTTCCACTGCTTCTTGGGGGAAAGATTTGTATAACTGTTTTTGTTAACATTTTTTTGTTTTTTAGTGCAATTGTTTTTTGTTCCTTTTTATCATTTCTTGAGAATGAAATAAAATATCTTTCCGAAGCTTGTTTGAACAAAATAGCATATACAACATTTTCTTAGACTTCCCAATATTATAGTTGTACAAAGGAAATTTTGGTTGATTTAACAAAATGTATTCAAAAAATTAATAGATAATTCAGATAGATGTTTCATTTTATTCTGAAAATATGATACCAAGAACAAAAGAAGTGTCCGATGTGTTTTCTAAAACAATATAGAGAATAGGATATCTATTTCAAATTATATTGCACAGTTGCCAACTCCCGATTTAAATCGGGAGATTCCTGTTTTTTTAACCCATCTCCTGCGCAATTTTGCCATCTCCCGATTTTCTAATTTTGTAATTTTTCATCATCTCCCGATTTTTTTTCCCGATTTCCCCCGATTTCTACAAATAACTTCGCATGTTTTAGGTAAAAATCCCCCGATTTTGTCTGTGTCCTCCCGTTTTTTCCTCCTACCTCCCGATTTTAAACTTGAATTCGAGTACTCATCGATCGTCTCCAGTATCTTACATATAAGTCAATTAACTCCAGCGACATCTAATCATGAAAAACAAAGTTAATCTAATATAAATGTCCAATCAACAACAAGGAAATTAGCGCACGCGCAACAATTTTAATCAGTAAGAGCGATATCCATCCTTTATTACGATCCTAGCGCATGCGTATTACGTAGATAATCTCCTGAGTGGAGGCGATAAGAATCTGCGCAAGTATGTCTGAAACGGGTAAGAATAATTTTGTCTATTTATGCACGATTGCGTAACGGCGTAAGCCTACCAAGATTAAGCATGTATATTCATTAAGAGAAATCATATTAAATAAGTTTGGATGATTTTACCATTGAAGTTTGTCAAAGATTGAGATTTATCAGTCACATTTACGGTAAGCTTTTTGGTTTTTCCATCCTGGACCAAGGAGGATTGGCTCCCAGGATGCAACTTCGATACCGATACTCCCTATGTCGTGACTACAAAATTCGAATTCAAACTGCATTTTCGTTTGAAATAAGACCCAAAATAACTATATACAAATGTTGAAGTGAATAAAATAGCGGCTGTTTGAATTCGAATTTTGCAATCATGACATCAAGAATATCGACAGAGTATCGATGTTGCATTCTGGGAGCCAATCCCTCCTTGATCCTGGACCTAGACGGCCATGTGCAGTAGGCCTATAGATTGCAACCCGGCATTGCAAGTGATTTTGGACCATCATATCTTTCACCATTAGTATTTTCTGGCCATAAATAGAGTATTTTTTATAAGAACAATGTGTTTTCTTTGAAGTTTTCTGTTTTCTCCTGTTTTTAAAGATAAACTGTTTTCTCATGCTTTTAAAATAAATTGTTTTCTCCTGTTTTTAAAGAAAATCTCCTGTTTAGACTGAAAATCTCCTGTTTTCTCCTGTTTTTTAGATGGTAACTTGTTTTCTAAAAGAAACCTCTCGTTTTCTCCTGTTTTTTAAAAGAAGTCTCCTGTTTTCTCCTGTTTTTTAAAGAAAATCTCCTGTTTAGACTGAAAATCTCCTGTTTTCTCCTGTTTTTTAGATGGTAACTTGTTTTCTAAAAGAAACCTCCCGTTTTCTCCTGTTTTTTAAAAGAAGTCTCCTGTTTTTTAAAGAAAATCTCCTGTTTAGACTGAAAGTCTCTTGTTTTCTCCTGTTTTTAGATGGTAACTTGTTTTCTAAAAGAAACCTCCTGTTTTCTCCTGTTTTTAAAGAAAATCTCCTGTTTAGACTGAAAATCTCCTGTTTTCTCCTGTTTTTTAGATGGTAACTTGTTTTCTAAAAGAAACCTCCTGTTTTCTCCTGTTTTTTAAAAGAAGTCTCCTGTTTTCTCCTGTTTTTTCAGTAAAAGTCCCCTGTTTTTCTCCTGTTTTTTGCAAAATATCTCCTGGATTCTCCTGTTTTTTAAAAAAAAAACTCCTGTTTTTTTTCTCTATTGTTACCATTCAAAAGATGACCATTAAATTGACAATGTGTAAAATTTTCAGAATAGTTTGATGACTGGTTTAAGAGAAACGTGTGTTCAAAAGGTTCGCCATATCGATACCCATCCTTTATTTCTACAAAGTAACCTAAGGGTATCATTATATACAAGTTGAACAAATATGTAAGATATGGTTATATATTATGTAAGGGACAAATTGAATCATCAATTGCTGAGAAAATACTTGAAGTGTGACGTTTTTTTGGGGACACCCGATATACAAGGTCTATTTATTTCACTTACAAAAAAGCATTAAATCGAAGGTTTCCAAATAACGATAACCTACCTGCTGAGCCAACCCATATTCATCACATATTTCAGTTTTGCAAGTTGTACAAGAGAACAATAAAAGTATGACATTGTAAACCATAACCAGATTACTCACTCTTAAAGCTTAAGCTTACTATTATGTCAATGATGATATCTAGAACATCAACACAGTATACCTGTATATACTCAGCTAATTCCGCTACATAATCCTCCCTCTCACTGGGTGTGTCACAGTGGCTCACTAGCCATGCAACAACACCCGTCCGTGTTTCAAATATACTCTTAGGGATCTGGTGGCTCGGGTCTAGGTGCTTGGTTTCGTTGTGTATCACCCAGCCGTACGGCACAAATATGTCGCTCCCAGTCCAATATGACATGGTAAAGTTAATGTGATCCTTCACAAGCAAGACTTTCTTGAAGTACCATCTAGTAGGGGGTTCTTTGGTATGCATGATCCATTTTTGATTCGGTTTCTGATATGGTGGAAGAATTTGGGAATTGATATTAGAAACATGAAAGAGGAGATATTCTGTATTGTCAAGTAGTGATTTGTCATTTGTGATGTTACAATTGCGAAATATTGGACACTTATTGAATGGAGACATCCCTTCATGTTCTGGTGCTCCGTGGTGTATAGTCCATGCCAGAATATTTATCACCGGGGACTTCTTGATGTAGAATCTACCAATACCTTGTCTTTGGTCATCCGACCACAGAGCCTTCCGCTGTTCTTTATAAAGAGAGCTATATGACAGTGGTGACTTCAGGGTCCAGAACTGCGACATATTTAAAGTAGATGCATTGGCATCCAAAATGTTTATTCCTTTGATCATACCACCATCTCTCTCGCAATCGTAAACTAAAAGTTTTATGAGAAAGGTAATTAAAAGTGAACATTTTTTTTTCTAATTCTAACCAGGGTTCTCATTAGGCTTTTAGACTCCGGAGATACCTTTTAGAAATAAATATTGGGATTAAAATAGCAAGATAGTCTTAAGAAGTATGTTGAAAAGTATACTAATAGGATATCTCTGATCTCACATGGGGAGAAGTACGTGTAGTCGCGATACCGCGAAAAAAGTAGTCACAATACCGCTAAAAATCCGGGGTCTAAAAATTTCCTGGTGAGAACCCTGCTAACTATTCGTAAATATATCCATGTAATCAAATGGCGAAGGATTTCGGAAAAATATTTTAATGGTGCGAAAAATATCAAAATCTTGACTGAGTTTCCTGAATAAGATTTCGGAAAACAATAAGGCAAATGAGGAATTGAGCTCAAATTATTTTGTACAATCTGCTTTCTATATCCACTGATTCTACCTTTAACTCCAATATATGGCTGCTGGTTTAGTTTATGGTATGCACTCACTTTAATTGTCCTTAATGTCCAGAAAATATAAAGATAATGGAGAATGCAAATCCCTAGTGCAATTGATAACATGTGCATACATATGCGGTGCGTCCGCCTTCCCATCTTAATTCCAGTTTATCTAGAGGCGGGCAAAACGCCAGATTCAGTTCTCTATTTGAGGTGTCAGTTTCAGAGTATCGCAAGGTTCGAAAGTTGCATTTTTGTCTACTTTGATTGATTGATCGATTTCAATTTACTTTTATGATTTGTATGTCAATAACATTTGTTACCCATAGTTATACGCTCGTATGTAACATCTGAGGTAACATGTTGTTCTGCATACTTGCATAACCATCATGTAATATTCACTGCCATGTAAATCTTCCATTTCGGAAACAAAATGGAGCCGCCTCGAAGGTACGGTTTTCTCCTTCATACCGTAGCATAAACGTCAGCATCACACTGAAACACTGAACTGGACACCCTGACAACGTCAGATACCATTGGCACAAATGGCGGACGTAACCGTCGCTTCAACTCGTTAACTACTTGGTTTTCATTTCATGGGACATAACCAGAAACATTAATTTACTGTGCAATAATAATACGTTATGGGGAAATTTAGATTTTTCCTTATTATAAACGTCACCCATAAATGTAAAATTGATTTGTCAAAATAAAAATCTCCCTTTTATAAATGTGTGACGATCTATAATATACTAATACTATAATAGGTCTTGACACAACGACCTCGAGCTTGTGAACCATTGAGTATTGTTCCGGGATCGGGCCTTTTATATTTAACGGAAGAGGGGAAACCCCCCAGAGCTTTAGCGATGACTGACATATTACATGGTGTCCAACCCAAACGCTCTTGCATGCACGACGGAGCGTTTCATTCACGCGGAAACGCTGCGGCTAATGAAGATCCCACTATGACTGTAAGTATTGTTTCACTCGTTTCTCTTACATATCCTACGTTATGGTGACATATTATGTACCATTCGATGAACAATACCCTGAGCAAAGATCTTATTTATTCAACTTCTGGTTGTAAACTGTTATTTGCTTGATCAAAGCTCCGTGGTGAAGATCGAACGAATCTGAAGTTGACAAATTGACCACAAATTAAATTAGTATTTATATAAAAACGTCAACCTTTCTGTCAAAGTAGTAGATCACACAAACTGGTATATTCTCATTTCCTAAAATCCCAGTCCAAATCCATTACTTGTTCTCGAGAAATCGCTTGTTTTCTGGAAACGCTCCATCGATCACGATTTTAGAAACGCTTTTACCATTTTGTTTTGATATTATTTTCAGATTATTAGAGAAGAGTTCGGAATCGAATCTATCTCTCAAAAACGTGTTGTACTTGTTAGGCAACCTGGTGGTGCTACACGTGCAACTACCCGACTAGCCTACATTAGATGATGTTATGCCTACACGTGTGCTAAAACATAAAACTAAATGACAAAAAACAAAATGTTTATATAACTTTAGTTAGTTAATTAAAAAAAATAGAGAATTAGTTAAACTTTTTCATTAATTAATTAGTTAATGTTTTCATTAATTAATTAGTTAAACTTTTTCATTTTTTCTGTATAAGCTGTACAACTTGCCCGAATGTGGGATATAAGTATTATAAATTTTCGGTCATCAAATCACAATTACGATAATGTATGGTGTGTTGAAGCATTGAAATTTGACCAAAATATGCGTTGGTGCTCTTAAATCCCGGCTCAACTAATCACATATCTGAGTCTCGATAAAAGGGGTTTTGAACGGTAGAATGACAAATACGTTTATGAATTTTGATAACTATACTGCGTCAAGCTCTTCCTTCAAACGTCAACAGCAAGCCAAGTACAACATGAAAATTAGTACCGTGGGTACTGGGCTCACATGGTTTCAGAAAAAACGAATATAATTTTTTGCTGATTTTTTGTAACAAAATTATTTCAAGCCACTTGCCACTATTTTGGACTGACTGAGAGACATATGGACAAATCGATGTTAAGTAAAATGGCTGAGAAAAAAAACGGATATAATTTTTTGCCAATTCTTGTTTAGTTGTGTCTTTACTTCACTTCTCAAAAATGAATAAAAAAAAGATTTACCAAAAACAAATGACTAATATTTTGAAATAATGTTCTAATTTCATACTTTAAAAGAGACAATTACAGGTAACTTTTCATACTCCACATGTGTCTTTAATAAGATGTGAAAGATGACAGACAGCACCAAGAGCAAACATAAAAATTAGCAGATGTGACAGATTTCAGTACACAAATAAAATACAGTGCTGTTTGGAGCCAAAACTTGCAATATATATGACTAGATGTGACAACATCATAGCTGAGACAATTGTATGTAATACTTCTAAATGAAGCCATCTCGACTTTTCAAAAAATAAATTTAAAAAAAGATTTTCCCAAAACAATTGACTATTATTTCAAAATAATGTGATGGCATTCGGTATAGGAATAGAATACAGGGCTGTTTAGAGCCAAAACTTTCAATATCTACGACTAGATGTGACAACATCATAGCTTAGACAATTGTATGTAATACTTCTAAATGAAGCCATCTCGACTTTTCAAAAAATAAATTTAAAAAAAGATTTTCCCAAAACAATTGACTATTATTTCAAAATAATGTGATGGCATTCGGTATAGGAATAGAATACAGGGCTGTTTAGAGCCAAAACTTGCAATATCTTTAACTTGATGTGACAAAATCATAGGTGAGACAATTGTTCGTAATACTTCTTAATGAAGCCATCTTGACTTCGAAAAATAAATTAATAAAAAGGTTTCACAAAACAATCCACTACTATTTCAAAATAATGTGGTGGATTTCAGTATAGGATGGAATAAAAGGCTGTTTAGAGCCAAAACTTGCAATATCTTTAACTAGATGTGACAAAATCATAGGTGAGACGCTGGTTGAAGCTGGCGAGGCTGGAGAAAGAATAGCAGTCCAGCAGGCGACCCGTTACAGAAATACCCTTTATCTGGTACTCTCCGCTGAGAACATCATAGAAAAAGAAAAAAAATGAAAAAACTGATTTGAAAAGCGATCTATTTTCCTTTTTATGACCGCCATTTTTGTTTAAGACAATTTTCTAAAATTTCAAAGATTGTATCAGTTAGAGCATTATAGTGGGCACATATTCTGAAAAATTCAAAAGATTCTGTTCAGTGACCTTCCCTACGCTCCTACTTTTAGCTTTTTTTCAGTCACACTTTCAAAGGGCTAAAAAGGTTATTTCATCATGTTTAGGGTCATTCTGACCATCCACATTGTGATCCTGGTCATGTAAATGATATGTGGAAATAGTTAAATTGACTGGAGGCCAAACCAGAGCTCTGTTATCTTTGTTCAAAAAATGTCCAAAAATGCAAAAAAAAATTTCACTTCCTGTTTCGTCATTTCCTGTTAACTTCCATGGCACCTTAATGAAGACATCTCTACTTCTCAAAAAAAGAAATAAAAAAAAGATTTCCCTAAATCAACTGACTATTATTTCAAAATAATGTGATGGCATTCAGTATTGGAATAGAATACAGGGCTGTTTAGAGCCAAAACTTCCAATATCTTTAACTTGATGTGACAAAATCATAGGTGAGACAATTGTTTGTAATACTTCTTGATGAAGCCATCTCGACTTGTTTAGTTGTATCTTTACCTAATTTCTCAAAAAATAAATTAAAAAAAGATTTACCCAAAACAAATGACTATTATTTTGAAATAATGTGCCAATTTCATATTTTCAAAGAGACAATTACAGGTAACTTTTCATACACCACATGTGTCTTTAACAAGATGTGAAAGATGACAGACTGCACCAAGAGCATACAAAAAAATTAGCAGATGTGAAGGATTTCAGTACACAAATAAAAAGTCAATGCTGTTTGGAGCACCTTAATGAAGACATCTCTACTTCTCAAAAAAAATAAATAAAAAAAGATTTCCCTAAATCAACTGACTATTATTTCAAAATAATGTGATGGCATTCAGTATTGGAATAGAATACAGGGCTGTTTAGAGCCAAAACTTCCAATATCTTTAACTTGATGTGACAAAATACAGTGCTGTTTGGAGCACCTTAATGAAGACATCTCTACTTCTCAAAAAAAATAAATTGGAGCCAAAACTTTCAATATCTATGACTAGATGTGACAACATAGCTGAGACAATACTCCTATTCGCGATAAGAGTTCAGGTGGTAATTTACATAAATATCTCCCATGATGCATCGCTTTGGAAGGGACAAATTTTCATTGGCCCGCCGAACGAGTCGATTACTCTGAACGTTTCTGAGCTTCCGATCTTCCATCAGCCCTCAAGCATAGTTATATTATCCAATCTATTCAATAATCAGAAAGATAATCGGAGATTCAAAGTAACATTATTTATATTTTTCGATATTCGATGGCGTCTGAGCAATTTATGGGATATCAGTGACGTCACTGGAATTGGATGGCATTTTAACTACACATTACTTCGGATTTGGGGATTATAGCTCAAAAAGCTTTGTCATATATCTTAATTACATACATACCTATCGTTTGTGCAAATGAAACTCTACATAAATGTTTAATAGAGCCGCAGTGCGGCATTGAAAATAGCACCCCTGTGTAATCCAATGGGAAAGAACCCGGATGCAGATGAA